CCGCGGGAGAGCGGGGTGCTCCGGAGCGGGCGGCCGGCCGCGGGCGCTTAGGAGGTGTTAAAGCAGTTTAAAACCCCGCAAGAACCTGCATCAGAACAACGAAACACACTCAGGAGCTTGCGGTTTCAACGGACACTACCCCAAAGCTAAAAGAACCCGGGGAGGGAGGAAATATTTTCAAATCATAAGGAGCTTGTATCCAGAATATATGAAGAAGTCCTCTAAAGAATGCAGACGCGGGGCCGGGGAGGTGGCTCAGCGGGACGAGCGCCTCCCTGGCAAGCGCAAGGGCCTGAGTTCAACCCTCGGTTCCGCCAAAGCAAACAAAAAAGAATCCAGGCGCACAAACACACGTAATGCACGAGTTACGGTAGTCCGTCTATGTTGCAGCGCGGCTTTCGCAGACTCACAGTTTAGCGTTTTTTCAAAAAATATTAAGCTAAGTTGTTTTTCTCTATATCGCGGGATTTTGCAGTACCGTACAGTATAAGTATGTTGTTAAAATTACGTAAGTTTACGAGTTTAGGAAATGGTTAAGAAGATTATAAGTGTTTTTAAAGGTGTGGGAAAAGTTTATAAGAGTGGGAAGGGCTTATAAAGCCTTAAAATTTACATAAATACCAGCATAAACATATCGTCGCTACTTCGCTGATTTTCACTTGTCGCGGGGGTGACTGGAACGTGAGGGACCACCGTCCTCGAAACCGCTAGAGCGGGCGGCCCTGCAGGTGGCGTGGGCTAGGGGTCCCAGGCGCCGGGTAGGTGCACGCGGGCAGCGGCTGCCCGCAGGGGCGCGTCCGAGGTGACGAGGGGCTCGACAGCTGGGCTGCGGCCGCGCTGCCCTTAGGGGGCCAACTGCGCGCTGGGGGTGTTCAGACAAAAGCCCAGACGGCTGACCATGCCGCAGGCGCGGGCGCCTGGGCTCCGGGCCGGGACCCTTGCGGGCCCGAGGCCGGACCTCCGGGCACAGCGGCTGGGCTCGGGGCTGCGGGTCCTCCGGCTCTGCGCCGCGCCCCGCTGGCCCTCGGGGAGGAGGCCGGTGTTTGGGGGCTCGGGGCGGGCATCCGCTGGGCTCCGCCGCTTTCGGGCCGCAGGAGGACGCCCTCCGCCGCCGG